GCCCTTTAGTTCAGATCATACATCTTCCAAGTTCAACTTTTCAACAAAAACAAAGTGGGTGAAGTCATTATATGGCAATTTATACTACAAGGATTGTCATCTATTGCGAGTCTTAAATACAAAATTTTGGTAAATATAAATAGGATCATCAAAATGCCGAATATCGGGAGGTACCATAATATGGGGACTATACGAAAACGTGGACCGATATAAACAATGCCCCGCCACCGTAGTTGAAACCCATTGCGAACTACATATGCCATTTTTTAGGTAAATCCGCGGAAAAATGTGGCAATAATCGTCAAAATACCGAATAACAGGAGGTGCCGTAATATGGCAAATATACCAAAATCTGGACCGATACATCTCATTTTCAATACCAACCATCCTAGACACAATATAAACTATTTTGCCAATACAATACAAACTATTATATTTTACCCATCCTTATATATTTTTTTTAAGCCATGTGCCCACCAAACGCTATCTCTACCCGCTCCATAGCTACTGCTATTGCTATATTCGTCTACTTACTTTGAAGGATGCTCCGCTTGTCTGTTCGTGACGGTTATTTTGTGCTGATGTTGAGTTTTCTTGTCACCATCTACAGTAGTGGAACATTGTTGATTATATATTTGCAATCATTATACATATATACCTATGTGTATATATGTATGTACTTGTGGATATTCCCAGATGTTGTTGTTTTTTGTGTTGCTCTGTTTGTGATGATAAATATCCTCTCTCTCACTCCGTGTATATGTGTTCTATTACTAACTTTGAGCTTCAGTGAATGGGAAAATCATATTTTTGTTGCTTTTGTTGTTGTTGTTGCTGCTGTTCAGCTTGCTTTGCCTTTGAGCTGAATGGCGGCTGTCGGCTGCTGTTACTGTCATCGTCGGATGGATGAAAGAGCCTTTTTTGGTTCAGTGCGTCAGCTAAACTTGGGAGTTGGCAAAGCAAAGCTCTCCAAGTGACATGTTACTACATTTCATTTTGCATGCCTACGAGTGATGTTTCTGATGTTGTTGTTGTTGCTGCTGTTGTTTTACACTGGCAAAGGATGGGGGAAGGGCAGTGGTATTGGTTTGTTCGGTACCAGGGTGGGTTTACTTTTATTTGTTGCTGTTCTGTGAGTCGAAATAGAGTTCAATGAATGTGTGTGTGTGTATGTTTGTGTGTGTGATGTTTTTTTCAAAATTTTATACATAATGGCTGAATAATTGTCCTTCTTTTCAGTCGTTGCCGCCACCACTACAGTCAGTCAGTATATGTCCCAAATTTATTGCATTGGTCGATTTCATCCACCAATCAAAAACGCTTTCAAAATGGCCGCATATTCCTTTGTTGTATATTTGAGTACTTGAACATGTTTTTTTCGTTGTTCGTTGCTTTTGCCTTTTTTGTTATTATCCTTTGTTTGCCTCCCATGTGCCCAAGTATCTTATTACTTTGTAATCGTTATCTCCATCTTCTTTGAACTTGCGTAATTATTTTCTTCCAAACGATTTCGTTTTCAAGATTTATTCAATGCAAGGCAACAACAAGAAAAGCGAACAACTTGTTGACTTAAATACCAAGCAATTTTGCTGTAATGATGGACGGGCATGTGGCTGCTTTTTATTCGCATTTATATTGAGTGGAACTTCCTTTCTATTATAAATAATGACATAACGAAATGATGATTTTTGGTTCGGATATGTACTTATATATATTTATAGGTACTTCAATGAAGTAATGATGCAACAATATTTCAAACATTTCTTAAATATACCCTTTTAAAAACCTCTAATTGAAATTGAAAAACCTCTAAACATGAATATTAAATAAATTGCAAAGGAAAGAAAATTTCCTTAAAACGTTCATTTTTAGATTTACGAAACAAATAGATTTGGGCATATAAAATACTAGGTGAACCCGGTCTGCTTTGCTACCCCTTTTGATTATATACGACTTGATCGAAAGCCGCATCGCAGTGCCTCGTGAGCTGAACATATCGCAATATTCCATTGGGCAAATATTGAAAAATGAGCTCGGGATAAAGCCATTGAAATTCCAAAGAGTGCAAGAACTTACTCCGCAACAGAAAGAAAATAGACTCGAAAGAGCTAAAGAGTTGCTTCGCTTGACCGAAAGTAGTGAACTGGCGAATTTGGTTTTTCTCCGATGAGAAAACATTCGTTGTCCAGCAGTTTGCAAACAAACAAAATGACCGTGTTTACTTGCCAAATAGGTCAGCGGAAAATGTGCACCTTGGGTTGGCCAACAGAACTCAAGCGCCGGCCATGGTGATGGTGTGGGCCGCCATAACAACCGATGGTCGCTCTCCGCTCGTATTAATCGACCGTGACATCAGAATAAATGCCGAATATTATGGCGAAAATATTCTGGAGGGTGTATTAAAGCCTTGATCATGCAAACATTTTGTCCTTGGACATTCCAACAGGACTCAGAACCATCGCAATCAGCACGCACCACCCAAGAATGGTTACAAAATGAGGTTCCTCAATTCATTTCCAGCGCACAATGGCCACCAAAAAAATGTAAAAAATTTATATACGAATATTTTGTGGTTTTTAAATAAAAACAAAACAATTTCAAGACCTTTAAAAAATTAGTTATTGTAATGCTTTAGAATATACAATATTTTTTCTGCTTCTCCTTCAGGAGCGTAAACAAACAAATCGCTCTGTCTATTAACGCTTGAAGATGCCAGGTACAGCTAACCATGAGGAAAACAGGAACATGTCAAATTTAGTCCGCATACACGAAGAGTTGGTCCTTGTGATTTACTAATTGTCATAGCAAATGCCAAGCGTACAGGAAACTGTATTCTTTAAAAGTTGAACTGCATTTCTATTGTTTTTAGAGGGATTTGAGGTAGCACTACAAATGAACCTCCTGCATACTTCCCTGTAACAATTGTAGTCTCAATTAAATTGTTGTGTAGTATTTTTACAGTTAGCCTAATACAATTATCAGGACGTGGTGGGTCTATGTTTTCTAATAAAATAATATCCAAATCTGAACCGATTTTAAAATAATTTGACAAAATATATTTTTAGGCCTTATTTTGTCACACTTTATAAACTTTGGCTTAAAATATATATGGAAACTATAACCAAACATCAATCCTATTTTATATAATTTGGAACATTCATTTTTGTACCAAATTCTGTTACTCATTCCAAATTTCTTTGGAGTCGGACATACATATCGAGATTGGTGCATCATATATGTGAAATCGACTGAAAATTTATCTGTGAACTTTATCTTAATCTGAAACAATTTCAACATAATTTGACAAATTTAATTGAAATTAGGGATATATAGCGTGTTTGGTGCATCAAATATATAATATCGACCGAAAATGTATATGTGAGCTAAAAGAGAAAACCTATGACTTCTTCGAAGTCCTAAATCCAATAGATGAAGAATACCTCGAACAACATATGATACAGGTCGATACACTCATTCCAAAAATGGCATACAAACTATTGTAGCGAATACAGACTTATTAGTCTTATGAGCCATGCTCTAAAAACTTTTATACGGATAGTTCTCTACAGAATATACTCAAAATGCAAATGGATTTCAGGAAGGTATGGGCATCCGAGAAGCACTTTAATACAAACATTGGTCCAGGAAAAACGTGTTTCTATGCTTCATTGATTACGATACCCCCATCACAAGTGGACTAGTCCGTAAAGAAATACAATGGATTAAAAGTCTATACTGGCACCAAAATGCACAAATATCAATAAACGGGAAAATTTAAGAAAGTGTTGATATATCTAAGGGAGTCGGACACCTTGTTCATTATTAAGTAAGAACAAATTTTCCATGAATCCATAAACCAAATCCCAATCGGCATTCTTATAAATGGAACATTTCTAAAAAAACATAAGTTATGCTGATGATACATGATGATGCACCGTAAAAACTGCTGATATAAAAAAAGCGTGTAGTTTTTGAAATATGGATGTATAGGAGAATATCCTAAATTCCTGGGACAGAACATGTTACAAATGTCGAAGCACTAAGACAGATACACTGCGAAAAAGAAATGATCTCAGTTATAAAAAGACGAAAGACTGCACCATATAATGCGATATCAAAAATATAAATTACTGCAGACTGTAATCCGAGCAAAGATAGAAGAAAGGAATGTTAGAGGTAGAAAAGAGGCAAAAGGCATCGAAAACATCACTGAATCGACTGGCATCCGAGACGTTACAACTATATTATTCAAGGCTAGAGACAGAGAGGCATAAGCGAATATTTTAAACAAATAATGTATACGTATGTCTTTATAAAATATATATATATATATATATATATATATATATATATATATAAAAAGAAAAAGATGTTTAGACTCACCCCTTGAATAAAATCTTTTATGCCTTGATAATATAATTTCGGTATAATACCATTATCCAATGTTAGTCAAAAACTATCGAAATTTTGTGCAATCTTTAAACCAGCTTTGTACACCCAATTTGCAACACATCCGATTTTATTTAAGATCATATTGTACCTGTTTTACCATACACCGCTGTGAGGGCTGCATCACACAACTTGGGTAGACTTAAAAGTAACACATCAGTCGATCTTGCTTTCGGTATCCGTCCATAAAGGAAGAAGTCTTTTACTTTTGGAGATAAAATAAAAACTCCAACACTTCAGACTTAAGCAATCTTTTGAAGTAATAACACAAATACAAATGATTGTCAATATGGGCATTTGGAACAAATTCAACTCCTTAGTCTGGTTTAAAAGTGGTTTATCCGGCAGTCAAGTTTCATAAATGTAATGGACGCTATCAATTCCATATTTATTAATCATTTCGTAGATTGCATCGGTATGAATACTTTTCAGATAGGCTAGTGATTTACTATTTAACCAATCTAACAAGTGGCATTCCCATTTTACATAGCTTTAGCATTTCCTTTGAATTAAAAACTAATATTCTTTCCCTATATATTTTCTCTTTACAGGCCTTGAATTATTGCCTTCCATTGCGAAAATCTTCCATGTTCCCCCGATATTTTTGGAAAATAAAAGGGCAATAGTGAATTGTATTTGTATCTGTTATATGTCATTTATGTTTTTCGATCATTTTTGCAACGGCAAACACAGACAAACCGTAAAGAACACGGAACTAATCTAACGTATTGACGACATCACAACAACTATTCAGACAAACAGATCGAATTGGAATTGGGATATCCTCCTGATACTGATGCACTCTCACTTACCTGTAAATAATAAATACATCATTGCATACGGAGAACATACATAACTACTTGCATACTAGAAATTGTAGAAGCACCCGACAGCCGCAGTAGAGGTTAAGTTACTATAACTAGAAGCAGCACTCCCATTAACCAATCCAATAATAATTACTTAGTGTAAGTGTAAACCGACCGGCAAAAACCACTAACGCCAAGTGAAAATAAAGAAGCAAAAGCAACAACAAAAATAGAAAAAATAAACACTCACACAAAAGGACAACGGAAGGCATACCACAAATACGGACATCTTGAGAAGTCTGTACAGATCGAGAGTGGCATGAGCCATACATCGGGTCATCGGAAATATGATGATAATGAGTGTTGTGGGCCAAGACCACCTGTACCCGGAGAAGAAAGTCGCGTTAGAAAGGTAAGTTTAGTAGTGGGAAAGCAAATGTCTGTGAAAAATAACAAAAATGAATTACTAAATGATTTTTTTTTTTCTGCATTCCAGATGACCGAAGGGGTAGGAGAACATTTACGTAATTCACCACCATCCTATTTGAATTGGGCCCGAACACTCAATCATCTGCTGGAAGATCGTGATGGTGTGGAATTGTTCAAGAAGTACGTGGAGGAGGAGGCTCCGGCCTACAATGATCATTTGAATTTCTATTTTGCCTGTGAGGGGTTAAAACAACAGACGGATCCTGAAAAGATAAAACAAATTATACAGGCCATATACAGGTGACTAGGGAAATACGAGAGAGATCCGCTTTGTTTTTAATTGTCTTTATCGTTTCTATTCAAGATTCCTACGCAAGAGCCAACTGTCTGTATCGGAAGACCTGAGACGCAACATTAAGGCGGGACTTAAAAATGAAATACCTCTCAGTCCAAACATATTCGATGGCATGCAGAAGCATGTCGAAAACACAATACGAGATAATATTTATCCATCATTTTTGTGTTCGGAAATGTACATACTTTACATTCAACAAATGTCTGCTGCGCATGAACGATTCAGCAGTAGCGGTGGTCCCACGGGGGCCGGGAGCTGTAGTACCGGTAGCAGCAGTAGTAGTGGTGCTAGTTGTGGCGGCGGTGGAGCCAGTGGTGGTGCCTGTGCGTTGCCACTTGTTGTTGCTTCCACAAGTACTGGGAAATCGAGCAGTACATTGGGTCAAATCATCAATTTGCCCGCGAGTACTAGTGCCGGCATTGGTGCTCCAACTGGTAGTTGCAGTGCTAGTGGCAGCGTATATGGCCCCTCGACTTCAGCAAGTTCTAGTGGTTCGGTCAGTGCCACAGATACCCTACCTCGCAGCTCAACCTTACCCACCCTACATGAAGATTCGGAACTGTCACTAAGTGATGACTTTGAAAAACTACGAGTAGAAGGAGGCCGCGGCTCAGCCGATATGCCAATGCGCTTAACACGGGATTTATTGTTAGCAACACAAAAAAGAAGACTGGAAATACGACCACCTGGGTGAGTTTCTTTTTGCCAAAAAAAAACCTTATATCTAACATTGCTCTAACAAATTGCATTCTGAACTGCAAATGTAACTAAGAAATTGTCCAAACCATAATTTTTCACGTAATTGGCTTAAATTGTATCCACACTTAAATAGCAACTTACTGCCCAGTCAACTGTCGTCCCTGGTATTGATAAATGTCCTATTTACAGTCCCATGTGATCAGGATTAATATCTCTTTAATTTGTTTAGAATTTTATGCAGCAAATTATATTTAGAAGCAAGTGACCTAAGCTTACATGTATTAAAAGTTTAATGAAAAACATTCAATTTTTTCCGAGTCTTATCATAACATATATGAGAGTTATGCCCACAATAAATACATGGCTATTACAATTATTCGTATTAGGGAAAACTCACTTTATGGACTTATAGAATTAGAGTTAGGCTGTATGATGTTTTTTAATGTTTTAGACAGTGAAAATGCTGTAAACTTCTAATACCTGTATAAAACGGCCACTTTAAGTTAATGATGAAAGGATGGAGCTGCCATGGAGCTCTCACAGTCACAGACCGCCGGTATTTTTAAGAATATAACGGACATGGCATAGTGATTCGATACAAAGCAACAATGCATGTTGTAATCAAACTTCTGTGTGACTCTATTTTGGCATCCATACATAAAGAAAATTTGACATTTTAACCGATTTTATGTTTTTATGACCATTAACGATGCAAAGGAATAGTCAATATTACTATCCAGAACCAATTTTTTGTGCGTTGTTCGTCGATTAAACTAGCAAAAAAAAAGTGTTTGGCTGATTTTAAGACAAAGTTTATTTTACCATAATTTAAGAGAGTATAATAATTAAACTAGAATTTGGACGTTTTTGACGAGATGCGTATTTTTCACAGTTCTATATAGAATATAGTTTAATACAACAAGATGTTTTCCATTTTAAAACTTGTTCATGCCTCAAAGAAGTGGAGAAATCCCCAAACTATTGTTGTTTATAATATCTTTAAGAGTTCAACAACAAATACAAACTTTATCTCTAGTGAGTTGCTTTTTGCGTGATCATCGCAAAAATGAAAGTGTACCTTTGCAACTTGCTGTAGTATTTTATAATATAGATGATTAATTTTGAAAACTAATTATAAATTAATTATGTCTACTCTCTTGTCAATTACAATATTTGATCTTTTGACGTCTCGTAATTTGAAATACAGAATCTGACATTTTTTTAAGAGAAACACTGATAATGTTGTCATGGCTAAAACCGGTTATGACCATTGTGCTACAGTAAATCTATTCATGATTTTATTTATTACAATATACTCCTGGTACTATATATTTAGAGACCCATACCAAATATAAATATTATCAATTTAATGTTATGTTTTTGCTTTTAGTTATTTATCTATATTTTTAGTATAGATATAATTCTCTTTATTCCCTAATTATTTTGTATTGCTTAATAAAATGATTTTTATAATTTATTTCGTTTTCTTTTTCTTTTATTTTCGTTTCATTTATGTATCTGCACACGTGTAAACAAAACCAAAAATCCATCCAACAACCATCATCCAATTACAAATGCAACATCTACCGTTAAAACTGCACAACCCACTCACTGACACACCAACACACTCATAAATAATATCAAATACCTCCACCTGACAAATGTCCTATTAAAATTAAATCAACGAATGATAAAATATATGTCGTGTGCTTTTTGTTGTTATTACTGTTGTTATTTTATTGTGTTATTATTTATTTATAAATATTAATTTTCTATGATTTTAATTTCTATAAAATGAATTAATTGCATGGACTGATGTACAACTATTTTACACCAAATCACCAACAACCTCGTTGCTCCATAAACAATTTATTGTTGTCCAATAATCTAAACTTGTGCATGTGAGTGTAGTGCTCATGGTTATGTTTATACGGGGAAGACAAATACCTCCTACGTACCGAATTCACGGGTAGACTCAGAAAGAGCAAGTGTCAGTTCGGGGGGTAGAACTGATTCTGATACCATGTCTCTTTCAAGCTGTTCGATGTAAGTAATAGAAGGTCATAATAAAAACGAACTACTTACGTATAAAATACAAACATCGTGACCCTCTACACATATGCAAGAGATTTCCTCAAATTTATAGCAATTATATGTTTGTCCTCCATTCTAGGGATGGACGCCCATACATACAACGAAGACATAGCTCGACAGAAACTAAAGCTATACGACAGAGTGCCATGGCCAATAAAGAAACCAATACCTTTCAAGTATGATCGCCTTAAAATGTTTCATCTTTTTAAGAAATTTTATTATTTGATATCAACACATATTTTTTAGGTTATACCACGTACTCAGCGTCTTCACTCAAACGAACATCGACCATTGAAAGAATCCGAATTGATAGCGTTACTAATACCCAAACTAGAAGAAGTCAAACGGAAACAAGACTTAGAAGATAGAGCCCGACTAGAGGTACGTTGTTCTGACTAACTGTGTCCATATAAAGAGAATTTTAATTGATTGATAAATTGTTGTTATATAGCATTTTCCTGATGAATCTATGCCGACCAATGAACGACTTGCCAGTGATCGTGCTTTTGCACAAGCCATTCGAGAGAAATTTGCCATTGACGAGGACAATGATCAGGACATACTCGATCAGCATGTTTCGCGTGTCTGGAAAGATCAAACGCCACACCGCTCACCTGGTACAATGTCACCCTGCCCACCTTTACCATCTAGAAGGCGTACAATAACCCATGACTCGGGCATGTTGAGTGATGGTGCCATGAGTATAAGTAAGTACCAGACAATTATATGGGGAAATTAGTTTACTAAGTAAGAATTTTGAAATCATTGTTCGCAACACATGACACATAATAGGAGGATTCTTTCTTCCATTATAATTGAATGCATTTCTCAAAAGCATAGAAAACTTGACTATATTTTTGAAAGAGCAAAGAACAAGAACTCGTCGTCTGGCATCCTAGTTGGTTTGGTAGCAAAAAATCCTCTTTAAATTCATCTGATTATTGATAAACCATATTTATATAAGAGAACTGCTACAGTGAAATTGTATGTATAAGCTTGATCACACTTGATTCAATCAAGCTGTCTTAAATAACTTGTGCATTCGGGCCACTCAAACGGAACGAAAAGCTCGCATGATTGTTTATTTTACGAATTTCTAATTGGTTGCTCACAATGAATAAATATGATTATTGTAGCTGATTTGAATAAAACATAGATGATCAAATAAGAGTGGAATCCGTTTTCAAAAACCGGTAACAACATTTAACTAAAAACCGCAAGTTGAACCCATCAGTTCGTTTTGCCGACAGATATATATCCTCAGTCTACGACCGTGTCTTTATACATTAATTCCATATTCCAAATTCGTTGCACAGATTTGAAGAAAATCGGTGACTGTGTATTTTATAAGAATTGTAATTATTGAAAATGTTGTTCCGTTATTGGGGAGGTACAAGAAGGCGTGGACCGATAAATTCCCTATTCACATTAGATCTAATTCCTACAAATATCTCGAAACGCAACATCTGAGAAAAACAGAGTTTTATAAAGCATTTTAGAAACTTTAAGTTTTTTTACTTTTATGGGGGAGATATATAGCATTTTTATATTAGATCTAAATAAAAATATGAGGAGTTTGAAGATGACTTATTTCTCATGCAACACGAGCATATCAAATTGGTTAAGAAAGGTGTGTGCAAAGTTTTGAATTCAGGCGGATAAAACACAGTTCTGTTCGTTCTATTTATAGAAATATTTGAATATGCGAAGATTGAAGTTAAGGGTGAGATAAAAAACTGCAAAAAAGTCAAACGCCATAATTTTTACATGTTTGTTTAAATATTATTGAATTAAAGCAAAAAATAACGGAAATAGCATCAACTTTGGAATATGTTTAGATTTGTTCAATTTGGTCACCTTTGGCGCTAATTATGGCCTTCAAACGGCCAATGAAACCGTAACACGCTGCCCGAATGTTGCTCTGCGGTATTTTGGCCCATTCCCGGCGAAGCACTTGCTTGAGGTGATCGACACTTTGGTATTTTTTAGTGCCAACCTTGCTTTCCAAAATACTCGAGACACATAGTCCAACGGATTTATATCCGGAGATTTTGGTTGTCATTGTGCGCTGAAAAAGAAGCGAGGAACCTCATTTTACAACCATTCTTGAGTGGCGCGTGCTGAGTGCGATGGTGTTGAGTCCGGTTGGAATGTCCAAGGTATGCGGCCAAAATGTTTGCGTGTGCGAGGCTTTAATACACCTTCCAGTTCTGGTGGCCAACCGAAGGTGCACATTTTCAGCTGACCTCTTTGACAAATAAACACGATAATTTTGTTTGTTTACAAACTGCTGTTTTATCATCGGAGAAAATCGAATTGGGCAGTTCACCACTTTCTAAGCCAATCGGAGCAACTCTTTAGCTCTTTTGAGTTCATTTTCTTTCACTTGCGTTGTAAGGTCTTGCACTTTTTGGAATTTCAATGGCTTTACCCCGAACTTATTTTTCAATATTTGCCGAATGGAATATTGCGATATGTTCAACTCACCAGCAATTTTTCGGCCACTGCGACGAGGCTTTCGATCAAGTCGCTTCTTTACTTTTCGAACCATTTCTGCTGATGTTGCTGTTTCCTTCTGTCCACTTCCTTGACGTCAGGCTACGCTACCAGTATCAACTAACTATCATATCAACTAACTAGCGATGGTACGAGACACAAAAGATTTATTCACATTTAAATGCTGGAGTGCTCTAAGTATAGCCACTTGTGATTTTCCAGCCAAATATAAAGAAATCACACTATCACACTTGGATTCCATCATAAATAATTTTTTCTGGGAGATCCTCACCAAAATGCTTTTGAACGCTAGTAAACAATATAATGAGCTATTACTGGAATAATTTTAACAACTGTCAGACGAGTGGCTTAGAAATGACAGCAGTGAATGATTGCATTCATATACACATACATTCATTTGTTCAGATCGAACAAAATTAATATATGCTTGAATACTAATTAATTGTATCCATAGTCGCATATAGCTACTATTTTAATATTGAGAACATATTATGGTAAAAATTAATTAGTTCGAGAAAAAAATATTATTGAAGGCTTTCCCATATTAAAGTAACGATATAGACAATTTCGTGCACCATCATTAATATCAAACCATCCTTAGGTGGTCATTCAATGAAACACTCAAAGTCAATGCCGGACCATAGTTCCTCTACAAGGAAGCTAACAAATAAATGGCCTTCCATGAATACCGACAGCGGCATAAGTTTATTCTCAGCTGATACTCTAATGAAGTACAAAGATAACAGGTAATTAATTGTTCATGCCCATACGTTTGAATTTAAAAGTTTTAAAACTATTCTCATTTTTTGTCAATTTAGTTCACGTTCTGGCACGAGTACAGCCTCTAAATTGGAAGAGGCCAAAAGAAGACTGGAAGATGAGACTAGACGGTCTCGTCGCTATACCCAACAGCAGCATATGTTGCCCCCCATGCAGCAGCAACAATCAGCCTCATTTAGTAATAGCAGCAGTGGCAGTAGTAGTTTACACCATCAATCACTCCCGCCTCCATTACCCGCAAAACCACAAGAGACCACAACAGTTGTGTTTTCATTTTGTGATGAAGAATATCCTTATAGAACTAAAATACCCGGTACACAACCCACACTAAAGCAATTTAAGGACTACTTACCCAAAAAGGGCAATTTTAGGTAAGAAATTGAAGAAGGCTTCATTCGATCGCGGGATCGCACTGACCACCATTTTTTACACTCTAATTTACAGATTTTTCTTTAAAACACATTGTGAAGATCCTGACAGTCCAGTGATTCAAGAAGAAATTGTCAATGACAACGATATCCTTCCCTTATTTGAGGGCAAAGTGATGGGTCTGGTAAAACCATCCGATTAATAGTAGTGTAAGTTTTAATTTTTATACATTTATATTATATAATGTAAACAGAACGATTACAAAAACAATAATGGAAAAAATATGGAAAACCACACAAAAATATATATAAAAACAAAAAAAATGTCAAAAAGAGACAAGCTAAAGAAAACTCAAACAAATTAACAACAAACTATACATATATCGAAAACAACAAACATACAAAAACGCTAAAATAACAAAACAGACAAACATAAAAGGATAAATTTATTTTATCATTTCACAAGGCAAAATACATATGCCTAAAATATTTTTGTATTAGTAGACTAAATTTCTGTTCAATCTACGTTGCGAGATAACAAAAAACATCAACAATATTTGCTATTTCATAGAAATAAGCCAATATTATTCTCAATTATAAATACAAATGTAAGTATGTGTATACATACGCATTTTACTTGTTTGCATCCAATTAAACATAAAACATAAATTGTAAATTTTTTATTTTATGTACAAAATACCACAAACACAATACACAACGTGTTTATTTAGTTGTATTATAATTTCACCAACAGATTGTCGCAAATGAGTAAAATGTGTCTCTATTGATGCACATCGATTTCCTCAATGGCAAAGGAATTCGAACCCATTTTGCTGCTTTCACTGCCTTATGAATTTATTATTGTAAAAAACATATTTTAATGTCGTTGATTTTTGAGTTGAGTTATTTTCTTTTTGATATATAACCAGGCCCATTTGTGTGAAAAACACGTCAACTTCTCTCACATTCGTTACATTATTTTTCAAAGTAATTTTCATGAGAACTTTAAAAATTGTAAACACACGCTCGCAACAATTTCATAAACCGAAATCGCACAACAGAAACGAACGATGACGAAATAACTCATTTGTTGATTTCGTTTCTTTGTTACCAATGACATCAGCTATTTTTCCCTTTTATAATAAGCCACTCCTTGACAATATTCTACAAGACATATATTTTATTTTTTCTTCTACGGCTTTATTCCGTCAATGTATAAGCACGAATCATATTTCCTATAATATATCTGAATCTCAATTATTTATTATGGTTAAGAACTGTAATACTGATTACTTAGAGGGAAAATCACAAAAGTGAAAAAAATTTTCAACAAGATATGTTCAGTGTACTCAGAACTACATGGTTTGGAGTAATAAAAAATAATTTCTGAAATGCCAAGAATATTTAAGAGAATTTTAATTGTTTGGCAAAGTTGTTTCTGCTTGTCTTTACATCTTTCTGAAAAGATTTAAACGATCAAAATTAAGGAGCAACCTTAAAAGCTAAAACTGTAAAATAAGAATTAACTTTGGAAGTTTTGTTGAATTTGATTTAAATTTTTTTTGTAGGGAAACGTGAATGTTATTGGAACACATTTAATTCTATTAATATTTTCTGTAACAAAGTTTTCTTAAGTCAAAAGTAGAGTGTTGTCAAAAATTGGTTTTAATTACCAGATTTTAAAGTACAAACGCTATATTCGCAATGAAATGAATGTGAACAAGAAAATGATATTGCACATTTTCAAATTAACATCTCCTACATTAAGGCAGTCGAAATTTAGCATTGTTAACAATTTAAATTTAATATTGAAACATATTTTGATTTTTTATTGTATGCAAGGGTATTATACACATATTGCCCATTATGAATATGCTTATCTAATGTACTATTGTTATAGGAAATGTACACGAAAAAGGCTACTTGGCTACTTGGGATATTTATACATGTATAGTAACGAAAACAACACCCTTGCGTTGACCAATTCAGAGCTGTATTTGTATTTACATATAATTTTAAACGAATCTATTTATTTTTATTTTGTATTTCATTTCCGTTTAAGGGCTACTTTGTGTATTTAATTAACATTAGACTTAACAATACATTTAAGTTCAAAAACTCTTGTGATGATGGTTTTCTCAAGAACGGACTGCCTGCAATAATACATACATATATCTTAATGCATATATGCATGTGTATTTTCACATAGTTTTTTGAGTGTGATTTATTTTTATTTCCTTTTGCAGTTTTGCAAATCAATTTCTGATTCCGTCTGCAAAATTCATTTAAAATCAAAAGAAAGATACCTTGTTTTTAATTCTTCTGTTTAGCTTTTAATCGATATTACTTTATCTTCATTTGCTGCCGCATAGAAACGTATTACGTTCCACCGTATCCCCTATTAACTTGTATTTTTATAGAAACAAATTTAATTTGTGATGTAATATTGACTAGTTGTCCCCCAAAAATAATCACAATAAATTAATGTTAACAATTCAGTTTTTTGCAATACTCATTCTCATAAACAACAACAACAATCCATCACAATGAAACAAAGAAAACAAAAATATATATTTTTAATAGGAAGTCACACCCAAATCGAAGCACACCAGGCGACAAAGTGTACATACTTGTGATGGGACTTAAAATTGGGTATGTCCCCACTATCTGCGACAAACAGGCCTGGTGTGATCGAACATAAATTAACTATTTCTGCTACTTATTAAAATTAAAGAATTAATATTTTATTGTATTATGATTATAATTATTATTTATAAATTTACACTTGCAACAACAACACAAACATATTTTTTACGTAATGATATTTTTTAAGAGAATTTGCCATCTTAACGTTTATAATAACATTACATTTACAACAAGTAATATGGAATAATTTGATTTCAAAATAAAAAATCAAAACAATTTCAAAAAAGAAAAAGAAAATAGACAAAACCATAACTCTGCTAGTTTTCAATATATTTAAAAAAAGGATCACAGTAGGTAAGTAAAATATTGTATTTAAAAAAAATTGAATCACATATAACATGGAGGTGTGTATTGCAGGCCGGTCCCATAATTTCATTTGCATAATCTTGAATTGTAAAGTTGTTAAAGTTAATGTGAAAAGATGTATATTTCCCAGATATTGTAATCCTTAGCTTGACAATGGCATATTTTCATCAATTTTGACTTACGCCTGACTTACGGTTATGGTGCGAAACCTTTTTCCACGGTTAAGGAACAGCGATATTAGGTAATAAGTCGTATATTTCAAGTTTCCTAAAATTGCGAAATGTAGAATGGTATATGTATATATGCAGTTTGGTTTCAATTTGAAAGGCACGGAGTATCATGGCACGGACCAAAAGAATTCGGAGCAGGCATTGCGAGATTGCTGCTCCCAAAGCAGCAAACACGAACATGTATACACAAATGTTGTGGTTTCGGGTCAATTCGGTATCGTAGAACCCGCTGCCGTGGAATTAAATAATTGTCGTTAATTATGTCGTTAAGTAGTTACAGAAACGCACTATAGACACAAATGTCTACAAACATTCCGTGGCGCATTCTCAAATAATTGAATCCATTGTTCAATATTATGGTAGGCCGATAATATAGTAAGACCCATTTTTGGTAAGAGAGTTTCATTAAATAAGAGTATGAACAAAATTATGCCACATATTGGTGGTATATGGTAACCGACGATGAGTGTTACCATGGTACAATAAGGAGGTACAACAGCTTCGTAAACCTACAGAAATACAGCCCTGAACCTATGCCAGCTTCCTGTCAGACTCATTCAAAATTATATACAAGTTTTCATTTTTTTTTTCATATTGTTCATATAATGAGTTAAATAGCGGGAAAAATGAATGAAATGCATGGATTTTCTCTCAAAAATATGATCCAAACTATTCAATCTTTCAATGTCATTGCTAAACTGGTGAATAGCTTTAATGCGAGCCACAATGTACGTGTCTTCCGATCATTAGTATTGAAAATATTCTGTTTTCATTTTTCAAAACAATAAATACATACACAAAATTGGCAGAAGTCGTGCACACTTAGAAAAAAATGTAATAAGCTGGTAGCTTTACCTTACCTTTTTATTGTACATTGAGTTTTCGATTTTGACTTAGAATCATAAAAGACAAAGTGTATTCCGAACTTGATTCAAACTTGGTTTGTTCTGGTATAAAATTTGTTTGGTGAAATACGTCGAATTTTACGTAACGCTGTAAGAATTAAGTTGTTGATCTATGAAATATGGAGGTGGTTTTGCAAAGCGTATGAACTGTACTAAATGGCACAATTTGGATGAATGGAAAATGTGGAATTTTAAAATTTAGTATAGATGCATGAAAAGTACTAAATGGTACTAAATTTTGCATAAGTTATATTATGAATTTTAGTATTGGGAAAATTGTGAGTGCGATTCATTTAGATAAGAAATCGACTTTGGAAATTAATTCGATAATAATGTTAATAATTAAATTAAATTAAATTAATAATGTACGAATTATTATTTAATGGTACAAAATTTAATATGGACTGTAGGGAAAGAACTGGAATTGTGAATATTGGTATGGAGATCTCTGTCACTGTGTAGCGTTCGTATAAGCAGGTGAATTTAGAAACCCGTAATATAACATGTACGAAGAGTACTAAATGATACTAAATTTGATATACATGTATACGAATAGAGCTGAACTTATGAATTCTGGTGTTAGGGTAACTGTAAGTTAGACAAAGGACATTTTACAAAAGCATTTTGGTGAGAATTTTCCAAAAAAAAAGTAATTCGTGATGGAATTCAAGCGTGATAGTGTGATTTCTTTATATTTGGCTGAAAACCACAAGTGGCTATCGTTAGAGCACTCCAGCATTTAAATGTGAATATATCTTTTGTGTCTCGTACCATCGCTCGTTACCAAGATACTGGTAGCGTAGCCCGACGTCAAGGAAGTGGACGGAAGAAAACAGAAACATCAGCAGAAATGGTTCGAAAAGTAAAGAAGCGACATGATCGAAACCTGCGTCGCTGTGGCCTAAAAATGGCTCGTGAGCTGAACATATCGCAATATTTCATTCGGCAAATATTGAAAAATGAGCTTACCCCGAGCAATTGAAATTCCAAAAAGTGCAAGAACTTACACCGCAGCCGAAAGAAAATAGACTCAAAAGAGCTAAAGAGATGCTTCGCTTGACCGAAAGTGGCGAGTGGTGCTGCCGAATTTGGTTCTCTCCATTGAGAAAACATTCCTTGTCCAGCAGTTTGTAAACAAACAAAATTCGTGATGTTTTTAGAATGGTTACAAAATGAGGTTCCTCGCTTCATTTCCAACGCACAATGGCCACCAAAATCTCCGGATACCAATCCGTTGGACTATTGTGTCTGGAGTATTTTGAAAAGCAAGGTTGGTACCATGGTACAATGAAGAGAAG